TCTGTCCAGGACAGCCGAGGCACAGAGAAACCCAGCCTTGAAAAACCAAAAATAAATAAGGTGGAGAGTAATTGAGGAACACACACACACACACACACACACACACACACACACACGAGTATGCATATGAACACAAACTTACACAAATAGAATACAAAGCAAAAAGAAAAAAAGGAAAAAAGAAAAAAAAAAAAACAAACCCAGGCCTTAATCAGGCTACCCAAGTAGTTACCACTGAGCTACAACCCATATCCTAAGCATTCTCCATTTAAAATGCAAATTCTCTTGAGCCTGGAACTCAGCAGTTCAGAGAACTGGCTGTTCTTCCAGAGGACTAGGATTGATTCCCAGCTCCCACTGGGAGACACACAACTGTCTGTAACTCCAGTCCCTGGGGGACCTGATGGCCTCTTACAACCTCTGTACACATGCACGCCTGCAAAACACGCATGCCCATAAAAACAAATAAATGCAAATGCGAATGTCATCTAAGACTGGTAAAGCATTAAGCGGCTAACATCCTAGGTTGGATTACTTTTCATGGAGGGGGAAAGGAGGAACTCTTGGAAGATAAAAGACTGATTATGTTTTAACAAAAAGGAAAGCTAAAGTTCAGAGCTGCCTGGAACAAAAGACCAAGACAGAATTGCGCCTGTTTCTACAGTGGATTCCCAGGACCGCATACTCTTTAGCCCCACCAAAGCAAAGACACCCACTCCCCCTCCGTGGGAGACAGCGGCCTTGGCTCTTTTACACAGGGTCTGCCTGCCTGCCCTTCACCAGCTCCAGGGAAGGACTCGGTGAACCAGTGCCTACTCGCTCCCCAACAACTTTTCAGGGCTTAGAGTTCAGGTAATTAGGCTCTTGGCAACCTCACTGGAGCCTCCCAATAAACCTGAAGCAAACACCCTCAGCCCCTCTCCAGGAGGGAGAAAGGAAGCACACAAGGAGGGGGAAACAGAGGGGAGGAGGAAAACCTTTTTCTTCACTGACAACCAGGAAGGTGTTGTAATCTACAGAAATCTCCAAATTCCTGGTTGTTTCTACCGCCACCGAACCATGGCTCCCACCTACCATCGTCATCCAGGGTGGCAGAGGGCATCTGCTGGCATTACAACCTGAATAGAAAGTAGCCATTAAGGGCCTATGCTTGTAGGCATCTTTCAATGCAGAGAAAAGGCCCCAGAATCTTGTACCCTATCCTGGGGGCCAGGGGGCCACAGCCAGTCCAGGGTGTTAGAGAATGATGCAGGAACATCAGACCCTGCCTCCTGTCACCACCTTTTGTTGAGATCTTAATTCATGTCTTGGCTCCTGCAGAAAGGGGACCATTCCTTAAGATCCCAACATTGACACATTTATCAGGCCCCCAAACAATAATTTCACTCTCCTTTGTAAATAAACGGTATTTCTTCTACATGACAGACTGGAAGAAATGGCTTCCCCCAACTTTTAGGCCAACTTTTACCAGCTGCGCTGTCTGAATCCATACCTGGGGCACACAAGGAGTGTAGTCTAACCATAGTACTGGATGTTTACTGAGTGCTTGCTAAAGGTCTGCTATGAAAATTCTCCCATTCTTCCTGCGAAGTCTGCACTGTTAACTCAGTCGATAGATAAGAAGCTCAGTAGTTTTTTGCCTTGTCACAATGAAGCTCTGATAAATACAGTAAGTGAACTGAAAGCTCCCATTCAGTTAGATCTAGTGGTAAAGAGGCTGACAGCCGTCCCTGTCTTGTCTAGTAGGCAACAAAGTCCTGTTGCCAGCCAACAGGCCCAGCTCCGAGCTGAGAGCTGAGCTTTCCCTCTTAGAAGCAAAAAGCTAACTCTCCTCGAAAGTGTTCTGGGCTGTCCTCAGAGGAGCAATAGCTGATGGAGCCAGAAAGCCTTTGGGAATCCCAAATGCTTCCACCACAGGCCCGTACGGAGAAAGCCCAACAGGTGGAAAGTGGATGGTATTTTGGGTCCTTGCTAGATGAGCTGGGCTGCCGAGGGCCTTCCAACTGATCGCTGCCTCACGCGGGGAAACATGGCCACTGCAGTCAATCTTACATTCGCAGCTTGGTCCAGAGCCGAGAACCTCGCGGCTTGTCCAGGCGCAGGGCAGGAACCCACCGAGACACCCCGCCCCTCCCATCGGAGCCCGCCAGCCTCCCCTAGCACCCGCAGCAGGAAGCGCGGCAGAGGCGCGCCCAAAGCTCGCGGGTACCCTGGGCACCTCTCCCCGCCCCAATTGCCTGGCTCTCCGGCCAGAGGCCAGAGCTCTGGCTAATTTTTCACTCCCTCCTGCCCCCCCCCCCCCCCGAACGCCTCTTTAGGTGACGCTACAGTCTGTGCGGTTCCTTTAAAGGCTGCGGGTTCCGTTCTTTCCCTTTTCCACTGGTTGCCAAAATATGCAAATCCGGGGACCGGAATCGGCAGCCAAATAGAGAAGGAGAAGGGGCGCGTCCGGCGCGTCACCGGATCCGCTCCTTGTATGGTTCTTCCCGGCTTGGCCCGCTGCCCCAAGACCCTCCCTGCAGCCGCGATGGCCCCTCCCGCACCCAACCAGGCTCACACCGCCACCCACGCCCCTGACCGGCCGCTCCCCCCTCCAGGGATGGAGCCGGGGGCGGGAAGCGCTGCATGCCCTGATTCCGGCCGAAGCCCGGGACCGCTGCAGCGCGCAGTCTCCCCGCGCCGCGCGGGCGGAGGAGAACCCGGGGGCGCAGTGCCTCTAGAGCCCAGGAATGGGTAGCCTGGAGGGAGAGGAGGCGGGGGTGGCAGAGCGGGGCCTCACGGGCGGCGGAATCCCTCCTTTCCTAAGAGCTAGAGAAGATCCGGGGGAGCCTGGGCCCTTCCCACCCGATGTTCTCCTCCAAACTGAGGGGAGGGGAGAGGGAGTAAGGTTATCATCCACCCCCTTCACAATACTCAGCTTGGGAGTTCCTCCTACACGTCCCCGGCCCCGCGTGGACCTCCCACGGCGTGAGGCCCGGGGGGGTGATCCTTTCTTCCTCCTTGTCAACACTCCCACTGCCCATGAGAGATACAAGTCCCCACCCCCCAGCCCCGACTCTCCAGCGGGGTACACGGGATTCACCGCGCCCACGCGGCCAATGAGGAGGGAATCCTCCCCCGCCAAACCGGTGTGATTCGGGGTCGCGCCTCCACGCTCCCTCCCTCTCCTCCCCCTCGCTTTCAGCCAGGCTGCGCGCATCAGGAGCAGGCCTCGGGGAACACATCACCCACCCCCGGGATCCGCTGTCGAGGTGACAGCACCCCGGGTAGGCACAGGGGGCCGGCCTTGACTGCGAGGCACCCTCAGGCAGCCATGAGGACAGCCCTGTGGGAGACAGGGAGGGAGGCTGGAGACTCAGAGAGACCGCTGCGGTGACTTAGAAACTGTGGGTTTCGCATCTTCCTGCTGTAACTCCTCTGCCAGCCCTTCGCCGGCTGCGGTAGACAGTGACTGTGCCCGGGCCTGCTGGGTCCTCCTGCCATCCTGTGGCCAAAGGGGGTTTGCTTTAGAACCGTTAGGGAATTTATCTGGAAATTATCGATGCACGTGTTTCCTAACCCCCTAAACTTTACTCTTTCCTCTTCTCCACCAAAAAACTCCTGTCCTCAATCCCCACCCACCCACCCAAAGTGTGGGGCTCCTGCCCTGCGCAATTAGCTAGTCGGCTACACAGTCCCAGGCCAGTGCGCTCAACTGGGAGTCAGCGCCGGGTCAAGGGCCCAAGGGAGGAGCCGGGGCTGTGGGCGGTGAATCAGAATGTCGTCCGCACGAAAGTTCTGGGTGGACTAGACTAAGGGGCCCTGAGACACTAAAACCCCTTCCCCAAGGGGAAGCACTCGCTCTCTCCAGCTCAATCTAGTCCAGGGTAGGGTGCTGAAGGAAGGGTGTGGGGGGCTGTGGGGGACCCTGGGTTGAAGCGGCCATCTCTCCATCCCCCCCCCCCACACACACACACAATTCCCAGGCTGCTAAGGGACCTGGTGTGTTAAACCCCTTCTTGCTCGGGAGTGCTGGAGAGCCCATTGCAACCAACCTCCACCCCCACCCCCCACCCGCTAAACGCCGGCCGTCTCTAACGCAGACCTCAGATTAAAAGCTACACGTTTGGTTCCTTAGGTTTTCGACTGTGCACCGCGCGCGCGCGCTTTGCATTCGGCTTCGTTCCCCCCCCCCCCCTCCTCTCTCTCCTCTCTCTGCTTCTTTCTAATCTTCTGACTGACTTTTTTTTTTTTTTAATTTTATTTTTTTAAGAACGGCGAGCGGTGCGGGCGCTGCACGCTGGCTGCGGCCCGCTTCCTGCTTTCTAATGTTCCATTGTGAGGAGCTTCCATTGTGACGTCGCGCCCCTTCGGCTGGGCTTTGTCTGTCCATATATGGGCAGCTACGTCACGGAGCTTTCCCGGGGCTCAGATAAATAGACTGGTGGAGTTCCCTGGCTGGGAGCTTTTGGGCAGCAGTGAGCTAGCTAGGAAGCGGCGGGGCTGGTTGGTGGTGCTTAAGCGGCGGCAGCGGCAGCGGCAGAGGAGGTGGCGGCGGCAGCGGCGGCGGCGGCGGCTGCTGTGGCAGATCGGGGGGGCGGGGGGTCGGCAGGCGCGCGTCTGTGAGATCAATACTGAAGCCGCGTCTGACCCCCCTGGAGCCTAGATTTCTCCCCCCCCATCCCCAAGCCCAGCACCCAGCCCACTCCCCGCGCACACGCCCCACCCCACCCCCACGACCCAGCGTCGCACCGCACCGGCTGAGGCACCCGAGAGGATCACCCCTCTTTGCCCCTCTCCCTCCCACCCCACCCCACCCCCCCAAAAAAGAATAGATCCCCTCCCCTGTCCCACCCCTTCCCCTCTTCCCTCCCCCTCCCCCCGAACTTTCCCTCTCGCATGCTTTTCCCCTGCACCACGGATCGCCTCTCGGATGCCGCTAGCCCTGATGCTGCGTTAGGAACAGGCGGCGGCGGTGGCGGCGGCGGCGGCGGTGGCGGCGGCGGCAGCTCGGGAGTGCTATGACCGGCAAACTCGCCGAGAAGGTGCCGGTGACCATGAGCAGTTTGCTAAACCAATTGCCTGACAATCTGTACCCCGAGGAGATCCCCAGCGCGCTCAACCTCTTCTCCGGCAGCAGCGACTCGGTAGCCCATTACAATCAGATGGCTACAGGTAAGGGTGGCGGTGAGGCGGCTGAGGCGGCCGGGGAGGAAAGGGGGAGGACGAGGAGGAGGGAGCGAGCTAGCGGTGGCTTGCACGCAGACCGGTGGATGCAGCCATGGATGGCTGGAGAGACGGATGGAGAGATGGGGGGCGCGCTGGGAATTTTCCGGGGGGCGAGTTGCTTCTCCCACCCACTCCTCCCGCCCTCCGAGATCGGGAAGGCTTGGTTGGAGACGCCACGGTGGAGGCATCGGTTCTCCCGGGTGGGGGCAGCCGCCGACCGGAGGGAGGTAGGTGCGAGCAAGCTCCGGGGTTCTCCCTCCCCACGCAGGGGGGGCCCCGATCGCTAGGCTGTGAGGCAAGGCGTGGTGCTTTAGCCCCCTTTTTCTCGGGAGGAGCCCGGCTTCTTTTTTTTTCACCCGCACTCTCCCCCCCCCTCCTTACTCCCTCAGCCTCCCACCCGGGATGGAGCCATGTGCGGCGTGGAGTCCCCACGGTGGGAGAGGTACTGCGACGCTGCCTTTCTGGGGCGTTCAGCAAAGCCCGTTGGGGGTGTGGGGACGGCGGGGAGAGGGAGGGGGCTCACCCACGGGGTGGGGGTGGGTGGGAAAGGGGTTCGCCACACCGGGGCGATGTCGGGGACCGGGGAGCTGGGGATGCGCGGCCGCTCCCTCCGTGGAGACACCGACCGGGCTCTCCGCATCCCGTAGCCGGGTCCGGGCTTTGCCCTCCGGCCGGAGCAGAAAAGCTCCCTCAGGCCGGGGGAAGGGAGGCGAGGGCCGGGAGAGGTTCCCTTTCCACGGGCGACACCCTCCTGCGCTCCGAGGACAAAAGCGTCGGAGCTCTCCCGAGTCGGCTCCCCGGGGCTGAGCGCGCGTGGAGGGGGGGGGGGCCTCGCTCGGGTCGCCAAGGCTCGGCGTCTTCGGAGTAGACGGGGCCGGGGAGGGGAAGGGGCCGAGTCGTGTGTGCCCGGGAGAGCGAGAGGCGGGCGCGCTCCGGCTCCGAAACTACCTGTGGCTGCAGCTACCTGTCCGCCCCACCTCGGGGAGAGAACAACAATGCTCCCTCGCGCGCGCGCGCCTGCGTTGTCTGTGTGTGGTACGTGAGTGTGTGCGCGGTGTGTGTGTGTGTGTGTGCGTGTGCCGGAGCCGCTCCACACCCCGATCCGTAGTATTTTTTTTGCCGTATCCAGGTTGCGCCGGGGAGCGCGGCACCGCCCGCCTCGCGCCGGCCTCGGCGGCGGCGTTCGTCCTACCCTACGCGCTGCGCACTCCAGCCGGCCGCACCCTCTCTACTCCCGGGCGAGGAGGACCTGGGCGCCGCGGGGCCCGGAGCCGGCTCGGCTTCACTCACCACCCCCTCCCTCCCCTCTCTCCCCGCTCTCCGCAGAGAATGTGATGGACATCGGTCTCCCCAACGAGAAGCCCAACCCGGAACTCTCTTATTCCGGCTCTTTCCAGCCAGCCCCCGGCAACAAGACCGTGACCTACTTGGGAAAGTTCGCTTTCGACTCTCCTTCCAACTGGTGCCAGGACAACATCATTAGCCTCATGAGTGCCGGCATCTTGGGGGTGCCCCCGGCCTCGGGGGCGCTCAGTACGCAGACGTCCACGGCCAGCATGGTGCAGCCTCCGCAGGGCGACGTGGAGGCCATGTATCCGGCGCTGCCCCCCTATTCCAACTGCGGCGATCTCTACTCGGAGCCCGTGTCTTTCCACGACCCCCAGGGGAACCCTGGGCTAGCCTATTCCCCCCAGGATTACCAATCGGCCAAACCGACCTTGGACAGCAATCTCTTCCCCATGATTCCCGACTACAACCTATACCACCACCCTAACGACATGGGCTCCATTCCGGAACACAAGCCCTTTCAGGGCATGGACCCCATCCGGGTCAACCCACCCCCCATCACCCCCCTGGAGACCATCAAGGCCTTCAAAGACAAGCAGATCCACCCGGGCTTCGGCAGCCTGCCCCAGCCTCCGCTCACTCTCAAACCCATCCGGCCCCGCAAGTACCCTAACCGGCCTAGCAAGACCCCGCTCCACGAACGGCCCCACGCGTGCCCCGCCGAGGGCTGTGACCGCCGCTTCAGCCGCTCCGACGAGCTGACCCGGCACCTGCGCATCCACACGGGCCACAAACCCTTCCAGTGTCGGATTTGCATGCGGAGCTTCAGCCGCAGCGACCACCTCACCACCCACATCCGCACGCACACCGGCGAGAAGCCCTTCGCCTGCGAGTTCTGCGGGCGCAAGTTTGCGCGCAGCGACGAGCGCAAGCGCCACGCCAAGATCCACCTCAAGCAGAAGGAAAAGAAGTCGGAGAAAGGGGGGGCGCCCTCTGCCTCCTCGGCGCCCACCGTGTCCTTGGCCCCCGTGGTCACCACCTGCGCCTGAGGCTCGGGCACCAGGTCCCTTCTTTTCCCTTCCAGTGCCTCCTGGCTGGTCGCCTGAAAGCAGCGGGGAAAGCCAGTCATCGAGGCGCAGTGGCCGCGCCCTGGTCTCGCCCTGGACGTGCGGCCCCTCTGCCTCCTTTTCGACGCCCATTTCTACCCGTTCACACCGGCCGGCGGTTGGGGGCTAGGGCTGGAAGCACTTTCTCCTTGCGGTCCCCCCCCGCCCCCCTTAGCCAAGGTGTGGGGGCGGGAAGGTGGCGTCTAGCCCGCTTTGTTCAGTTAGGATCGCCTTGATCCAGGGGCCTCTGGGCCGCCCCAAGGACCTGCGGGGGACTGAAGGCGAGGCCCACCCAACCCTCGCCTGACCCAAGCACCTCACTGTTTTCCCCTCCAGTGTCTCCCTGTGTGCCCCCCTCGAACACCCGAGAAGGGGAGGGGGTAAGGAGCGCACCAAAGCGCCGAGCTTGCTGCCGGCCCGCACGCACGCGCGCTTGCGTGCAGTGATGCGCGTGCCCGCGCGCGCGCGTGCGTGCGTGCGTGTGTGTGTGTGTGTGTGTGTGTGTGTGTGTGTGTGTACGGGCACGCATGGGTGAGACTCTTGAGCTGAACTGGGCTGTGTCTACCCCCCAAACTCTTCTTCACATAGGGTCCCCAAGCCGTTGGGAGATGTCCTAGGCTGGGGATCTGCATGTGGCCAGAGGAGATGGTCTTCCATCTGCTCCTTTAATAATGTTTCTTACAGAAATGCCTCGGACGCAGCTGCTGCTGCTGCGCTGCCGCTGCCGCCGCCACCTCGGGTTTGGCCCCTCAGAGCCCCCCTCCCTTTCCGAGAGCTTCCCTCTTAGGCCTCAGGGCAGTTTGATCTTTGGGGGAGAAAGAGCCACCATCTCCTGAGCCTGCCTTTTTTTTTTTTTTTTTTTTTTTGAGAAAAAAAAATAATTTACTCAACCCCACTTTTCAAAATCTGAGTTCTTGAGCTCGCCCTCTGCCTTTCCCTCCCATCTTCTCTTTCTCCCTCTCAGGTTCTCACTTGATCGCTCTCAAAATCTTTACCCAGAAAGGCAGGCCTCAATCAACCGCTCAACTGTTTGTCTCTGTCACGTGCCCATTTCTCATTTCCTCCATTCCTGGGAATGCTGGCTCTATTCATTTGCCCTCTGTGATCGCCAACACAACAGATACAAGCGAAGTGTATGTATATGATGCCGGTATGTGTATGTAGATGTATGTGTGTGTTTCTTTATACACATATGTTTACATAACACAGTGTTCCTAGCAAAATCAAATCTATGGCATTTGGTGTATCCAGCGCAGTGCACTGGAATAAGGAGAATTTGTAGGCACATACTGCTTTAAATGATTTATTTTTATGAAAATGTTAATTGATGAGATTATAGCTACCTGTGTATGTGTGTGTGGATACATGGGCATACACATTCTGTTCAAATTTTCCTCAAAAATAGATGGGGATATTTGCATTAATCTGTGTTGCTTTCATGGCCCCCCATCACACCTCCTCCCCACCCTACCTCACCTCTTCTCAGGAGCCCCTCTCCCCCCAGCTGTCCCGCCCAGCCCTTCCTCACACAGGGTGGCCCCTTTGAAGTGGAGACTTAGAGAAGGGTGCTCTCCAGCGTGGTCTTCACTGAATGTACTGTTCCCTATTTGCGTCCCTTCTCCTGTGGCCAGTGAGCTGCCCAGAGAGAAGCGACAAAAGGTCTGGAGTTTACAGAATGTCTGTTTTTAAAGTCACTTTATGCGTTTCCCACTTTTTTTTTTCTAATTAAAAAGCACCGTCTTTTGATGGTGGATAAATAATACTAAAAGGACTCTAGTGAAAGGAGAGGAAAAACTCGAAGAGCAGGGGGGATTGTGAATTTCCAGGTACTCGGGCTTTTTGTAGAAGGAGAAGTTTGCCAGGAGGGCCCATATTTTTTCAGCTTGAAGGGTAAAATCTTTCTTTGCAGAGACAGTATTTTGCTGAATACTTTTTATAATGTGATGATTATTTAAAAAAACACACACAAAAAATTTGGTCAGTTCAAAGCTGGAAGGAGGAATCAAATATCCTTTAATATTTTTTTCCTTCCTCCTTCTGGAATATGCATGTCGCTGCATGATAACTCTGACTTTTCCTTTGTTTTAATAAAACTGTTCTCAGACATTTAAGCTAAACTAAGAGAAAAATAACTTTGTTGCCAAAAGGTTGTGCTATCCCGATTTTTTTATATGTCTGCATGTTTAAAAAAAAAAACAGCAAAAGAAAATGCACTCTAACTTATGTGAACTGAGAGAAAAAAAAATCAGGTTTTAAACAGAAAAACCTATGGGGAATGATATTTTTGGAAAGACTTTTGTATACAGTTGAGTACTTAGAAAAAGACAAACCAGATGTAATATATTTTGTGGATGTTTTTATTTCTTGGATTTATAGTACCTTATACTAAGGTTAAAAAAAATGCTTGATATTGTGAAAAGGTGAGATTCTTCACCAACATTTCATTTACTCCTTGTCACATTGTTATGCCAATATAATATAAGTAATGAAAACAGCATTTTTAAAAACAAATATTGAAACGGTGTAATGTTGTACCATTTGCCCTGTGAGCAAATGCCAATACAGTAAATATATTGTGTTTGCTGACAATCAGCCGGGCTTTAAATCTCATTTTATTTCTTGTTTTCACAGTATAAAGTTTTGGTTTGGCCTGGGTCTTTTTGTCTTGTTTTGTTTGGGGCTTTGGTGGTCTGTTTGATAGCTTGTGGTGCCTGGATTTATGTTTCTTGCTCAGAAAGCTCTCAGGGTAGAGCTCATGTCCCTAGACAAGGCTCGTGATTCTGTGTGTATCCTGGTGTCGCTAATCCAGTTCTGAGCCCTGCTAACCGAGCAATTATGTGAACAAAATGGATAAACTGAACTCATGGGAGACAGGGCAGTGACTTCAATCTAAAAGCTTTTCTCTGTTTCCATGGGTAAACCTCCTGGTTGGTAAACCATTTTTCTGTTGGTCTTAAGACAAGACCCTGAAGGGCCTCTGGAACAGCACTGAGAAGTTCTCTTGCTTAAGCTTTTGATGCCTGACAGACAGGTGCAGACTTGACAAGGGTTCCTCAATGTTGGCGAGATAACCAGAGAGTCTGGCAGTTTTCTCTGTGGTCAGATAATGGGGAGCAGGGAGTCCGGTTTTAAAGCCCTACAGCTTTAATCCTACTTGAACAAGCTTTCCAGAGTCCTCACTGCTTGCCAGTGTCTAAGAAAGGTGGTCCTAAGAGAGGGGCTTGTGGATTGTTCGAAGATTTGCTGCTTTTAAAGGAAGAAAGGACTTCTGAGATTCAGGGTATGCAAAGGACAGGGAAAGTCCGTGTGGTGTCAACCCATTCATCTCTTTCATCTCATGATTTCTATCTCCTGTGAAAACAGTACTTCCCATGCCCTCCAAGCTACCTCCCTCACCCTCCCCTGACTTCGCTGACCAACCTAGCATGCTGACCATCTTAAGGGAAGATTTGTCTTTGGCTTTTGTCTTTATCTCCCTTTTCCATTCTTGTTCTAGAGCAATCTTGAGACAACTGAATCTTTTCTTCCCCCTTCCCCCCCCCCGTCTTGCCTGTGCTATAGAAAATTCTGTCTATGTGATGCATGATCTGCTCTGGGTTATGGAAACACAGTACCAGATTGTAATGGAAAGTTTCTCTATCTACACACACACACACACACACACAGAGAGAGAGAGAGAGAGAGAGAGAGAGAGAGAGAGAGTCAGAGAAACTGCTCTTGCTACTTACTAATGTAGGCCTGTCTCTGTAAGAAATAGGGATGTTATTTTAGGTTGACTATAGTTGCCAGTAAGCAAGGCCAGATCTGGGTGGAGGGGGTATTGGGCTGTGGCCCTAGAAAAGAATGTTTTTGAAGTAAGGGATGAATAAAGAGAATGCAATATGTAATCTTAAATTCTTGCACCCACACAATGCTAGGTCACCCACTAGCTGCCATCTTGAATTCCTTTCTCTCACCTTATGAAACTAACAATTCCAAACTCCAGCTCTATACGCACAACCACAAAGAGCTAGCCTCCTTTTAACAGAAGGGGTCCAAGTTGGTTGAAAAGCCTCAATGATTGAACCTAGAGCACGGCTCTTTGCTGAACTAGATGTTCCCTTGTGGATGTCTGTGTGTTTTTTCAGGTGAGTTTTAGCAGAACTGAAGATGTTATCACTGGATGTCTTCATAGTTAGCACCCTGCCCCACCTGTACCTTCTCCAACCAAACCAGGCCTTCAGAGTTTGTCCATTCGTCGACAGTGTAGTATGCTGCATGAGTAATAAACTCACTTCCCATTGGTGGAGATTACTCAACCCAGCCTGGTTCAACCACTGGGTTACTTGGCAATATGGCAGTCCGCCTGGCTGGCACCAACCCAGTGTGGTGTAATCACTGATTCAAAATTTGTAGCTAGCTAGATAAGGCTGCCCCAGATAGCATCAAACTAGCTACCCAACCTGCATGGGTTTTGTAAGTAAAGAAGAGGTTTGAGCCTGAGACTTAAAGGCAAAATGGACACGATCGGGCATAAAAGTATAGACAGGCAGTGCTGGGGCTTGTTTCAAACAACTCTTGAAGTGTCTGGAGGAGAATGAAAGGATATTTCACATAGATACACACATGCACTACCTCTGGTGTGGCATCGCACTGAAACTGATGGCTGTAAATTTTTACTTAGTCGATAGCATAACATTTTTCTAAGTGATTGGGCCTAAGTGAGATAATTTTTAAGAATTTGAGAGAAGTGCATTTTTGTACAGTAGTGGTGAACATTGTGCGTGTGTGTGTGTGTGTGTGTGTGCGTGTGTGTGTGTGTGCGTGCGTGCGTGCGTGCGTGTGTGTGTGTGTGTGTGTGTGTTCAGGGATGTAAAGAATCACGGTGGATTTTGATGAATACAAGCATTAGCTTCTGGAGAGTTGTTAATGTTTCCTTTTTTGATAGTTCAGGGTTTGCCTGAATAGATGAGGGAATTGGGAATTGTGGGATGCCTCTTCTGGCTCTGATGAGCTCCCTAGTGTTCGTGATTGATAAGCCTAAGGAAAGCAA